CCTGCAGGGAGTGAATCCCCCTGCCCTGTGCCCATCCCCTGCAGGGACAGGCTGCCCGTGGGATCCTGGGGATGCTCCTCTGGCTGGGGATGAGCTGGGAGCTGCAGCACTCACCAGGGGATGCTCCCAGCTCCTGGCTCTGGCACATGGCACTGGCACGGGCCAGGCTGCCCTCCCTGGGTGCTCTGGGCGTGCTGTGGCTCTCCCAGCTGTGCCTGGTGCCATGGAGTGCCCGGTGTGGGAGCCAGAGGCTCCGGTGTGCCACAGCAGAGCACAGCCCCTTCCTGCAGCAGCAGCAGATGCTTCCCCTGCAGTTTGAGTTTTCCCATCTCATTCATTTTAGAGATTAATTAAAGTGTTTCCCCTCCCTCTCTCCCAACCAACCTCCCTCCCTCTCTTTTCCCCGTTCCATACAGCTGCACATGGATTTTAGGGTCATGCTTGTTTACATCAGTTATATTTACGTTGATGGGTGTTTGTTTTAGGAAAACCAGCAGGAATCCCATGAACACAAATATTGTTTGTGTCCCACGGCTGGTCCTGCAGCCCCACAGGCCCATCCTGCACCCTGGCTGCAGCTCTGCATGGAGAGCTGTGCCGTGGGCACGCAGCATCTTTGGGGTGCTGTGCAGTGACCTGCAGTGCTCATGGGGTGCCCGCGTGGGTTTTCCTCACAGCCCTGGTCCCGTGCTGGGTGCTGGCAGCCGGGCCAGCTGCCTGTGTTTGCCAGGGCTAATCCCCATCCATCCTGGTGCAGGGACAGGGATCTGCCAAAGCACCTTTGATGGGGCACGCGGTGGGCTCGCTCTTTCATCGGGAGCTCGGAGGAGGGAGAGTGTTGAGGAGAAGAAAGAGAGAGGGGCGGAGGAAGGATAATTATTTTTTCCAGCGGCTCTGAGCTGCTGGGTGCCTTTAGAGCTGCCTTTGTGTTCCGTGGGTCAGGCTGGGCAGAGCCTGGCCCGGGGCTGTGTGGCACAGCCGCCTTTGTCGTGGGGCACGGTCTCGGTTGTTAACGGGGACGTGGAGCCTCAGAAGCTCAGATCTGCCGTGTGGCTGGTGGGAGGGATGTGCAGGGCTGCCTTATCACGCTCATTTAACTGGTTAATACATCTTCAGAGCAAATAATGCAGGCTGGGGGTGAACTGCTTAACCAACCTCATTACTATTGTGCATTTAGCAGCTTGGAGAAAGATAATACCTTTCAGGTTTGACCCAATTTTAGTTTTTGTTGTCATAACCATGGAAAATCGACCTTCAGAGACCCTCAGCAGTGAGCCTGAATAGGAAGTGATTTACAGCAAAAGTGCCGTGTGGAATGCTTAATGCACTAGTGCAGGAAAACAAACTGCAAGCAGCTGCTGGCATGCATGGCCACAGGCAGGGCTGCCCCGGCTGCTGGCACCCTGTCCTGCTGGCATTGCCCTGCCGTGGGCACAGCCTCCGTGTGCCAGGCTGGCACAGCTGTCCTGGGGCTGTGCTGGCCTGCACAGTGCTCTGTTCCCTCACTGCAGTGCCAGAGCTCCTCGGGGCACCTCTCCCACCATGCCAGCCTGTGGCTTTTCTGTGGCACCCTTCACCTTTGAGCTGCGCTGTGGGAGCGGTGCCA